CGGTGCCTAGTGTGTTCACGTGCTGTAACAAACGCGCAAAAAGGCTAATAGATTTCCTTTATATTTTTAGAGCTATTTTAAGAAAAATAAGCTATTATAAGACTCTACTATAGCAGAGGTTATTAATAATAATACTCTTTGCTTTATCTAGCAGGATAATAAGGCTATTAGCACTATTTCAACTGCTTATAGCCTTTACAAGGCTAAGAATAAGGTTTAACGTACACAAAAATGCCTAAAAATAATGTCTAAAAATTAATAAATTCTACTACTTATTTTTAATAGTTAATTATTTAAAAAGCTCTTTATTCTAATAACTATTAATGACTATAACTATTATATAAAGGGCGTGGATTAAGCTAATTAATTATATATAAGCTTTATATACTATAGAAAGCAGAACTATTAAATATAATAGCCCTTATTTTTCTTCTTTATTAATATTACTTATACTAATGCTTATTTATTATAGAAATAAAGTAATAATATATAGAATTATAATAGCTATAAGATCTTTATAAGTACCTTATATAATTAATTACTATATTTAAATAATTTAAAGAAGGAAGAGCAAAAAGAAAAAAAGAAAGAACAATCCTATTCTTAACTTACAACAGTATTTTAGTGCTACTATAAACCTATACAACTCAAACAGCATAGCTAGTGCGAATAGGGAAAGCGTCATTCATCAGGCTGTTTGTATAAACAGTCAAATAAACGCAAATTTGGAACCAACATTACAGAATTAACTATTAACAGCGCTAACAAGGGTATTTTAGAAGGCTCCTTCACTCATCAAAGATGCAGTAAATGCCAGATTTGGCTCTGTATCAAAGGAGACTGCTGGCAACAGTATCACAGCTCAATTGAGGCCAATAGCTAGATAGAACAGTCTCAATTCGCCGAAAATAGACGTTTGTTGACGTTTTTGGACCCCTCATAATGATCGACAGCGCTAATAGGCACAAACTACACCCCTGTTCAGGGACGGAGGGGATAGGATGCTGCATACGGGAAGAGGGAACCCTAAAGGTAAGATTTCTGGTACCAAGGACAGGCACCAAGAAGGCTCCCGTTTCGAGAGGTTTCCTTTAAGGCTCAGAAGCTCATAAGCTGCAACTTAGCGCGGTAGTATACCAATGTCAACTGTTGAATGCCATATACCTTCAATGTTCGGGGCTGTCTCATCGAATTTCGAGCGGACAGACACGCCATACCAATGGTAGTATTCAATCCACCGAACGCCGGGACTCCCCCAAACCACTACCTATGCTCTTTCCAGTTCCAAGAATGAGAATCGTGGTACCAGACAAAGGGACCAACGAAATCAATACTGTAGTAGCAAGGCGGATAGTTGGTGGGAATTGGCCATCTGATTCAGCCTCGCGATAACCTATTCCACTATGCTTTAACCGAGCAAAAGGCGCCCGGAAGAGTGGCACAAGAACTTCCAATAGCCGGTTTCGTCCTAAGGAGATACAGAGCCGGGCCGTAACAAGTTGAGTCTGAAGACTAAAGCAACATTTCGCAACGAAGCTGCCGCCGGCATCCTTGCGACACTGTCCATGAGTCACGGGCCAAGCCCCTCAGGCTGAAGCGGATTATTGGTAAAAAACTGGCAGCTCGTTGACTTGAGCCTCGCTGGGTTAAAGTTAGGGAAGCAGACAGCAAGGCAAGCTTGGCTGCAGAGGAGAGAAACCGACCGAGGAGAATACATGATGGCAGAGCGAAAAGTGACCAGGGTGGAGAGGGATAAAAGAATAGAAGCAAGGGTTTCCTGGTCATTTGCCACTAGACAGCGGGTTGGGGGACATCTGATTGACTCTTTGGTAGCATCACAGCATCACAGCATCGCAGCATCGCAGCATCGCTTTGCTTAACTCGAGCTTGCAAGCCAAAAGCACCATTCTGTCAGTAGTAACATCGTACCTTTACCTGATTTACATTCGTCGATATAAATGAGGTATTTCGTACCTCTAAGCTCAATCCTTTGACCAGCGTGGATCACACATGCAGAGACATGAGCTGACCGTGCAGCAGAGATGACCCGCCAAAAGGTCTAAGTTGCAGACATCCCGACCGCGGGACACGGGATGGAAGGCTCGTACCAACCTTCTATCTTAGAGGGATCGAGCTGTGTACCAGGCCTGGGCAAGCAGAGGGGTGGGGTGAGATTGTCTTTGTCCTGGGTTGCTGAGATAGTTGAAGAGCAGAGGTTAAAGGTGTACTGCCATCATGCTGGCAAAGACACCATCTCTGTAGTCATCGAATGTAACTTTGTCGTATTAGTGTAGATTTGCGAACTGAAGAACAGAAATGAAGAGAAGTGATGTGATGCGGAGAAAGTTAGTTAAAGAAGTCTGGGCCAAGTTGGCAGCCATAAGCCATGTCATTCGTCTGGATGCAGGTCCGAACTTCAGTCCTGCAGTGCAGACGTGTTCGTCACTGTCACTGCATGTATTGCAGCAGCATGGGTCCTGCTTCTGCTTCTGCTTCTGCCTCGCACGGCTACGTCGACGATACACAAAGTCCCCTAACAGTCAAGTCGTTCGCCACCGCATCTGGTGGATCGAAGAGCAGCCTGGCATTTATATTGCCTCGCCCTTTTCTCGTCTCGACATCTGCTCGAAATGAGATGCTGAGATGCGAAGATGGGACGAGATCGGAGCGCGAATTCTACAAAACCTGCCAATGGTCCAAAAGCGAACATTCTTCTCTACCTGGCCAATAGGATTGCACCCGACGCAATCCTGCCACACGTCACGCTCGGCAGCAATTTCAACATCCGAGTCATTCGCAAGCAGAGGAGGCCAGAAGTGGTAAAGAAAGAGTCCAAATCATTCCCCGAGGTAGACATCTTCACCGAGACACGCTTTGCCATCTGGGAGGATGAATGCGGTCTCTTGGCCCAACAATCACATCAGCATGCAAGATGGGCGGATGTTCTGTTCGTGGAGATGGATGCAGACACAATATCAGCCATGCTGGCTGGCCTGGCATATGATACCGTCCTGAGTATTCTCCGCTGCTGGGATACCTCCAAGAGAGTGGTCATCCTGCCTGAGTTGAGCATTGATCAGTGGAAAAGCCCAATCTGGAAGAGGCAGGTGACCGAGATCCAGAGCAATTGGAAATGGATTCAGCTTCTTCGCCCAGCGCTCTGGGACATGGAAGATGACGGAGGGATCATCTCGGAGTCTGCGGCGGACTGGGTCTGGGACTGGCAAGGGCCAGAAGAAGTAGTCAGGGCCATCCAGACAGAGGCACAAAAGATCACCCACAGCGATCACACCAACACCCTATCCACCTACACATCGACCAACGACAAATTCCCGTCGACAAAGCGCAACCTTCGCAACAAGCGCAGTCCGACCCGACCTCGCTCTAGTCTACCACCTGAAATCTGGACGCTCATCTTCGAATACCTCGGCGACTGGGAATACGCCACCGCGCTCGGGATCTACACCACTCTGCCCACCCCTTACGAATGGCTCCCACATATCCCCAAATCCCCCTCTCACCCAGCCAGCCTCGAGTACACGCTCCTCACAGCGCCCTACTCCACCATCCGCACCACCCTGGACAACAACTCGTCCGCCCCCTCCACCCTCTCCCCGCTCGCCATCAAACAAGAGCGAAGAGCGTATGACTTGCATTGTTACATTCTATAGCTATTTGGCATTTAGCACCTCAGTGACTATGATTGGATATCCATATATCATACCTATTAACTGGGGAGGAATATCAGGGGGCATTGATATCATCGTCCTAAGACCTCCATCCGCACCACCCTGGACAACAACTCGTCCGCCCCCTCCACCCTCTCCCCGCCCGCCATCAAACTCATCTTCAAATTCTCCCTCACCCCGATCCTCAGCCACCTGGCCAGCCACCAAAAGGACATCTTCTGGACCTCGTTCGGCCTGGGCCTGATCCCCTACAAAGCGTCGGTGACGTACAACAACCCGACCATCCTCGAATGGTGGCGCAGCGAGCGCGCCATCCTGAAGAAGGAATACGGCACCGACTCCCTCGACGGCGCCAGCCGCGCC